AGGATTTCCAATGACTTTTCATAGGGATGGGTGTGGATGTTTTCTGGAACTTCACAATGTGAAGCAATTCCTTTAAAGAATAGTGTTTAGAGGGAGTTTTAAGGATCATAATTTACTGTGTCTTGACATTTCAGGAGAAAAAGTCCTCAAGTTTTTCTGGTTTGATGCTTATGAGGATAGATTCAAACAACCAGGTATTTAGATGTTGTCATGCAGGTCTTTAGGCAACAGTCTTATAGTCAAGGGGATCGGTGAAACAAAGGCAAGTGGACAAACAAGGAACAGAACCTCGATAATCAAACACAACTATATTTCAATATGACGATCCAATCATACAGTACCTTCCATGTGACTTGCCTGCACATGCATTTATGACATGACCGCATGGCAGGCTAAGTTATAACAATAACAAAGTTCAAACGTCAAGTTCAGTCTATTAGGCAGATGTGTTTATTACTCCATTTACTGCTAATGGCATAAGGTCAACATACCTAGATATAATGTACTAAGTTCATCGCATTGTTCTTTCAGGTACTGTCTACTTGTTTGGCAAAGTTTGGATTGAATCAGCTAAAGCGTACGTCAGGTATAGCATCAATTTTATTTGCAAATTATAGTAATTAAAACAAATAATGTTATTGCAAAAAAAGTAGAATGTTGCAAATAGTTGGAAATAATGTTTTTTAATCTCTACTTTTCAGTTGTTCAGTGGCAGTCAAGAACATCGAGAGACAAATATTCATTCTTCCAAGAGAAAAGGTTTGATGCTTAAGGCTGTTTTTGACACTTATTGACAACTTGACATGAGCCTCCTGATTTTCAAGGGCAGTTTCTTTAGATTCCATGTGACGATTTGCTGTTCTCCAGAAACAGCATATATTAGGGTTTTTGGATCATGTGTGCTAAAGGCATCTGCAGTCAAGTGTCGATCAATAGCTTAGATCGATACCCTTGATCAACACTTGATTGATACTCAATTGACACTCCATTGAGATTTCGTTGACACTCAGTCAGCACTCAATCAACATCTCGGTTGACAGGTGGTCAAGAGTGACGACTAATTTTTTATCAATGCATGTGACTTGGTTGACACTCAGCCAACTATCGACCGACTGTTGATCAAGTGTCGATCGAGTGTCAATCGAGATGTTGCTCAAGTGTTGATTGAGTATCAATCAGAATGCTGATCATGTGTCAATTGAGTTGCCAATCGAAGGTATCAATCAACACTCACCTGCAGATGCCTGTAGTACACACATGATCCAGGTTTGCTTTTCTTATTGATTTAAATTAAAAGCTGTGTTCTTCCAGCCAATGGGAACAAAATAAATGTCAGTGTTTTGCTGAAAGGTTATATTAGCATTGCTTTCAGCTTCCTAACTGTACTTGTTTACTTAACAAACAGAAGCGCGACGTTGATGGCTCTGAGACAAGTGAACCCGTTGGATTTATTGATGTTTACCAGGTGAATAAATGTTTCTTTTGTAATGCCGCTACTTGCTTTCTTTTTTCTTTTAATACACTCTACTACATCTAAAACTGACAGGGAGTCATGCCTTAATTAGCACAATTTTTTGTTTTAAAATGACACCTACATTAACTTATTTTCTCACAGGAATTCAATGAGAAGATTGCGACAAAACATAAAATCATGAAGTTCATCTCCAGGGTAACATATCATAGTTACTTTTGACTAGAATTTGTGCAAAATTTTTGAAATGTATGCTTGTATTACTTCTTGAGCCTAGAGGAATTGTATCATGTGTACTAAAGGCATCCAAGGTCAAATGTCAATTGAAACCGGCGATTGAACCTCAATTGATACTCAATTGACACTCCTCAGCTGACACTTGATCAACACTTGATTGACAACTCAGTTGAGAGTTGGTCAAGAGTCAACTAATTTTTGATTGATGCATATGAGTTGGTTGACACTAAGTGTCAATCAGGATGTTGATCGAGATGTTGATCGTGGGTCAATCAAGGGTTTAAATCATCACTCGACTGCGGATGCCTTTAGTACACATTATTTGAGGAAATTGTTCTTGAGGGATACATGTTTAAATTGTATCAGTCAGTACTCGCAAGAACCTGTTGATTGATATGTTTTGAGCTTCGTTTTTCCACACTTTGTTTCTGTGGTCCTGAAATGTGATTCCACTGTGTTCCTATTTTAAATATCTGTTTTTTCATTCGTTTGGTCTCTCACCTTTTATTTTAACACACATGTGCTTAAGTGGTTTTCTATATTATTTGTCATTTAAGAAAGTTCAAAAGGCTTATGCTTTTGAGATTCAAGATGTTCCTGTCATGTCAGAGTACCTGGAAGTCAGATATTCAGTAAGTCATAAACATTTTAATATTGATTGAATTTCACCTATATATAACCACATATAAATAAACAACAGAAGCCTGATGGCCTGCAATTACATTTGGACCCTGCTAATTTGAACTCGCCTATTCCAAATTCCCCAGTATTTCAAAGTCAAAACCATTTTCCTCGGATTTGCCCTTCAGTCATTTGCTATTGGTTATTGCGAACTCCCACTATTTTGAACTATATTTTGTTTCTTTCTAGAGTTGAAAATAGCAGGGTTCAACTGTTCATAATCAACTTACATTTACACTGTAAGGTCTGTAAGCATCAACCCTTTATAGATTGTCTCATTTTTCATTATCATTCTCACTATCTCTTGGCAGGCGGATTCTCCCCAGTTACCATCTGACTTGTCTGGAGAGACTTTCAGCCATGTGTTTGGCACTAACACATCTAGGTAAGAATCTCAGCCTCTGATTTGAAAGAAAAGGCCTTCCAGCTTAAAAGGAAAATTTGAAATGTTCTTCTTTTTGGTTGCAGTCTTGAGCTCCTTCTCCTTAGTCGTAAGATGAAAGGTCCTTGTTGGCTCACTATCAAGTTTCCTCGTGAGTATGATGATGTTCTTTATTCTCATAACCAGTCTACTTGAGAATGTACTGTCAATGTTAAGAGAAGCAAGATGCTGATCTTAGCAAATGAGATATTTACTCCAAGGATTAATTTCATTTTAATGTCTTTTTTTTCTCTCAAGAACTTCCTCAACATCCAGTCAGTTGGTGTAAAGTAGAGGTTAGTGTTCTTCTTTTGTACAGTTTGGCAAACATATCTGTGCTAAGTTTTTAAAGTGTCAAGCATTTTCCTGCAGGCTGTTGTCTCAAAACCTGATCACCT